GACCGAAAAATATGTATGTTACTGTGCCCGGCACGAAAACGGATGCAATTGGATGGTTCGCGTATCGAAAGGAAGAGGAAAACCAACATATGGGAACTAACAGTATACAACGGTCCTCAAACATGTTGTGCTAGAGGGGTCAACCAAGATCATCCCAACTTGGACTCTAAAGTGATATGCCAAGCCATCATGCCCATGGTAAAAGCAAGCTCTCATATAGCTGTTGCAGTGTTGATTTCAGTTATACAATCACAGTATGGGTACACTGTCTCCTATAAAAAAAGCTTGGTTGGCAAAACAAAATGTCATTGTCAAAGTTCATGGCGAATGTGATGCATCTTACAACGAACTTCCAGGTTGGTTTAGGCTAGTGCGGACGTTGAATCCTGGGATAATTGTGGACTTCGAAACCTCCTATGCATACCATAATGATTGAGTTCTACGCGATCGATGCCAATTCTACCAGGTTTTTTTGACTTACCCACAGTGCGTTAATGCTGTCAAATACTGCAAGCCTGTGGTCCAGATCAACAGGACTTTCTTGTATGGAAAATACAAGCAAGTTTTATTATTGGCATTTGTCCAAGATGGCAATCGTAACATTCTTCCAGTTGCTTTTGCTCTTGTCGAAGGAGAAGATACAGATTCTTGGGCTTTTTTCCTCCGAAACTTACGTGCACATGTTATCACGAGGGAAAAAATATGTGTCATTTCAAATCGCGGAGTTGGGATCAAAGTAGTAATGGAATCTTTGGGTCTAATGTGGCAACCACCCTTTGTCTAACATAGGTATTATCTCTGACACATTGATGCGAACTACCATGGAAGGTACAAGAAGAATGATGAACATCAATTAATTGTGCGCATGGGTAAGTGAAACTGATGTAGTTTGTTTTCTTTCGATCATTTGAATTTTGCAAAGAAAACAAGTTAGTAAGTTATATATTTTTTGATCAGGTTACAAACTACTTCCTCGAACGTTTGAATCAATGCTTCAAGATTTACGGGTGAAGAACGAGGAAGGATACGATTACATTAGCCTCATCGATAAAGAAATGTGGATGAACGCATATGATGGTGGATATCGATATGGAAACATGACGGCCAACTTGGTTGAGGCAATCAATTCAACCTTAAAGGGTGCACGTCACTTACCTGTAGCGACTTTGGTAAAAACTACATATTTTCGTTTGGGGCGCTTTTTGCGAAGCTCGGGGGACAAACTCAAACCTGGATGCAAGGCGATCATGTTTATCACCCTAGATTAGTTGCAGATCTACAGGAAAAAAATTGATGCATCAAATGGAATGTCTGTATCTGACTTCTCTAGAAGGTATGAAATGTTTCGTGTCACAGAGTTACCGTGACTTCTTCAAGGGATTGAAGTTGTGTCGTTAAGAGTAAATCTACGGGACAAAACGTGCGAATGCGTGTTTTTCAAGCTCTGAAATATCCATGCTCTCATGTGATAGCAGCTTGCTCGCATACGCGTCAAGACTATAACCGTTTTGTGGATCCCGTATACCTGCTATCTGAAGTTTATAAGGTATACGAATTTGAGTTCCCCCCATAGGTAATGACAAAGACCCTAATGAGGTTCAGGATTGGCTTCGGATTGTACCAAATCCAAGTTTATTGAGGGAGCATGGTCGTCCAAAATCCAATCGAATTCATTGTGATATGGATATTCGAGAAATATCTAGACAAGACAGAAGATGTGGGCATTGTAGAAACCTAGGACACACTAGAAAAACATATCCACTTCTGTTGTCATCAAGTAACAATTGATGATGACATGATGTAGTTGTTTATCATATAATAATTCTTGTACTTTAGTTTGCATTTACTTAAAGTTAATGTCATTCGATAACCGCTGATGAACAGTAAAAAACGATACAAGAAAATGAGATTGAACATTGGTGTTATATGTGATTATAATAAAAGAGATAATAAGTGACAAACTGAAGAAAGCTTGAGAACACAATTATTAAATTTTATCAAACTAATAACAATTTGGTATTTGAACATAATTTTAAATACAACAAACTTACAAAAAGTATTAAATGGTAAATGATAACCAAATAACAATAACTGATATTAAATATTAATAAACAAAATTAACCAAAATACATTAACAAAACTGTATAACAAATTTAACAAAATAAATTAAAATAAATCCAACCACATTAACAAAAAAATTAAGTATTAAATGATAAATAAAAAAAATTACAATAAAAAAGTCCAATAAACAACTAAATACAAATATAATAAAAAATAAAATCTATCGATGCCTGCGACGTAAATGTGTTTCGCAAGACGGTGGTTGTCGGTCTCGAGGAGGATTTCTTTGTATCACTGGTTATGACTCCTTGCTGTCATCAGCATCATCATCGTCGTCGTCGTCGTCCTGAGCAGCTACATTTTGTTGAGGATGAGCTGATGACGATGAAACACCTCCATAGAATAAGGACCATGGAAGTGTATGACTGACTATCCCACCGGCCTGCGAAAACTGAGAAAACTCATAAAACCCAGATATCGTCGAGTGTGAAAACTGTACATGAGGTGTATGTGCTGCTGCCATAGGTGATGAGACTACACCCGCCAAATATCCAGCATATGAACCCTAAGTAGGATCTGCAAACATAGACACATAATATTCTCCAGGAGGGGTCATAAAACTTTGTGACGGTAGCGGCGGCGGGGTCATAAAACTAGGTGACGGTGGCGGCGGTGGCATCGGGTAAAAGAACGGCGATGACGACATCACATATAGCTACGGAAGGTAAGTCGCTGTAGACGGTGGCTACTGTAAAGGTCCTGCTGGTACAGTTGAGAATGAACCGGAAGCACCTGCTTTCCGTACATGAGTCGGGGGACGATGGTATTGTGTCGGTGAACGTCTCTGTCGATTTCACTGAAAGGTCCACCCTCGTGCATCCTCGGAAAGCAGAAACGGTTTCCCGTTACTGTTGAACCACTCGTAATAATCGTCAGCAACCATCAAGAGGTCAATAAAAATGGGCTCTTTACGGGGAAGGCACCGATGTCGATCCTCCCACAATACGACTCACTCGTGATGCCTCACCATCCAATCTGTATCGGTCTTGTCGCGTCTATCTGTGTTATGCAACTCGTCCATATTGCGAGGTACTTCCGAAATTGGTTGAAAACAACCAAATTACCAGAGCACGCGATCAGTGGAGTGCCACTCAACGATCGCATAACAGAACCATCGCCATCTAAACATCTAATGGGCCCCTCAACTCAGGTGAGATCACCATCCTCACATCATCATTAGAATATGACACCCATTCAAACTAAAACAAATATATATAATTTTTATCAAAATAATAATCTAATTATACAACTATAATATAAAATCGATTTTTAAACATTAAAATACATACATGTGTGTCAGCCTTCTGATCGATTAGCACCCAAATTTTTCTAAATCATCAGGTAGCTCCTGATGATTTTTCCTATCAGTAGACCACCTATTCAAGGTATACACTGTATAAAATGATTAATATACGAAATCAGTTTTATAATTACCTCAAGAATAGCGGAAATACGAATGGGTTCTTGACAACGGGACATAAAAAGGGCAATCGATACCATGCTCAAGACTGCAGCAGCAGGAAACATCCACATATAACATTTTTCTTGTAGTCAGTGGCTTGGCACATCTCCCTGTAAAGGAAAGCCAAAACTGTCGAGCCCCAACTGAGTGATTCGGCCAGACGAAAGTCGCCAAGATGTCGCAACCACATACAATGAACTTGGTTGCGTGATTTGTCTGGCATTAGCAACCCTCCTATCAGCTGCAGTATGTATGCCCGTGGATACATTTTAACTTCATCATCAGAGACGTTCTCGCTCAACTCCCGAAAATTGGCATCTAATCAATTTAACGGTATCCAACCACCGTTAAAACTTTCCGGGACACGTCATAGATAATCCTGGCACAAAGCAGTCCATAAACTGTGTGCCATCCCCGTTATCACATCTCCATCCACCGAAAGCCCCAGGTGCATAGAAACATCATCAAGTGTAATCGTACAATCTCCGCACGGAAGATGGAATGTATGTGTCTCCGGCCTCCACCGCTCCACTAAGGCAGCAATAAGGTTTGGTTCTATCTTACAGTTACCCTCATATCTAATTATGTGACCGAATCCAACCTCTACTAAATACGGCATGACACATCCAAGTATCCCTAACTTAAGGTTTCTAATAAAAAGATCTAATATACGACCTCTCTCCTAAAATATAAATAATTCCAAAAATTAATTTTTAAACTAATAATCATGCATTAAATAAATAAATAAATTATTACTAATAATTTAAATTAAATTAAAACGTTAAAATGTTACCGTATCAACAAAATATCGAGATATATGATTTCAATCCAAGCGAAACAGACCGCCTTCCATTTTATATATGCAAAAAAAATTAATTAAATACAATATTAAATAAATTAAATACAAAATATTAAATATAATAAAATATACCTTAAACAGAGAATATAGTATTTGAGAGAGGTTGAGAGAAGTTGAGAGGATTTGGTGTGATGAAAGTGATTGAGGATGAGTGTATTTATAGGGAGGGAGATGGAGTGAACGGTCGGAGTAGGTATGTAATTAAACTTAAGGTGAAAAATACCTAATAGGAAAAGTAAATAGAAAATATGATATATCGAAAAAAACGCCAAATTCTTATCCATCACATATCTCAGCTGACAAAGCCCATATAACTGTTGCAGAAGGCCCTCCAAACCTACTTTGATTCCTCCACCTCAATAGACATAATCTCTTCACCCTTCTTCTTCTTCCTTGGAATACATTCTTAATTACATCAAACCCACCCAAAGTTTCACCTTTTCTATGACCAGGAGTGACAGGTTCCTCATATCTAAAACAATCCCATCTTCTTTATAGTTTTCCTCGATTTGGGTTTGGGAAAATCCCAGTCAAACTCTGTTTTTTTTTGGGTGATTTTTAACCAAAACCCATCAGTCAAACCAAATCAAGACTGGATTTTTCTCTGCTTAATTTCTTGTAAAGTTTCTTCCTTTTTTTCTTATCAGGTGATTCCAAGGGATCAACTTTCTGGATTGGGGGTTCAAAAGAGATGAATTTCAGGAGCTTGGAGGATTTTTGGGCCTTTTACGTGAATCAGCACTCCAAACCATCGACAAGACGCTGGCACTTTGCTGGCACACTCTTGAGTCTCGTGTTTTTTGGATATTCTTCGTTGTTTAACTGGTGGTTCTTGGTGTTTGTGCCTATATGTGGCTATGGATTGGCCTGGTACAGTCACTTCTTTGTGGAAGGGAATGTTCCTGCCACTTTTGGGCATCCGTTTTGGTCCCTTTTGTGTGATTTCAGGATGTTTGGATTGATGCTTACTGGGAAAATGGATAGGGAGATCAAGAGGCTCGGCAAGAGACCTATATTACAGGGCTTCTAAAGGGTTCTTGTGTAAAACTTCTTTTTTCCTGTTTACTTCATATGATACAATTTACTTGTATTTTTCATCTGTTTGCTACGATGGCGTCAGCTTTAATTAAACTCTTGTTTTACATCTTGCTACTGACAATGTTTAATTTGCGTTTCTCTTGAGTTTATGATATGAATAATTGAGTAGAAATCATTGATGGACAGTAATCATTTGAAACTCAGCTGGATGATTGTTGGTGTAGAATCTGTAGATATAATTATGGTCTCTGAGTGATAGGTTGTACATGTTGGGTTAAGTTTTCTGCTGTTAATGCTTTAGCTAAAGAATCATTTTGTTCAAAGGAGCTGCTTTCTTGTGAAAGGCCTCGAATTTGGTTTGGTTCGGCTTTAGGTATGTAAAAATCCATAGAGGAAAATTTTAAATTGTTAAGTATGAGGGTATATGATCACTTTTCTAGGATACACTCACTCCCCCAGCCATGATGAATGAAATGATCGCAAGACAAGAGTCAGCTCAGCTTGTTTTAAGAAAGCATTTGGTCAGCCATAGTGTCCGGTTAAAGGTTATATATTTGATGAGCCTTTGGTAATCATGGCATCACCCCATTGTCTGAAGTCAAATAGGCAGTGGTATAGTTTGTATGTATATGGTTTGGTTGAATCCCATAAGAATAATTGTTGTTGAGAATGGGCATGGAAACCTCATTCATTACCCTTTCCATGTATTTTGTAGGACAAAAATTGTAAGACATGTATTAATTAATAGGATAAGGAAATGTTTTGAGAAAGAAACATGCAATTGTTTTCCCTCAAGCAGAGGAGAAAATAAGAACCCATATAAATTTGAAAATTTCACCCTTAATCTGCATTAGCTTTTGTTAAGGGATAGAGGTTGAACTTGCCATTTTTTTCCCACTGGTCTTCAAACACTTTTAGGCCCATAGTGATTCTAAACCAAAACGACCCGAATCCAAAGTAATTCAACCTAAAATAATCTTAACTCAAAACTATTCCCAATCTGCTCAACTGACAAATCAAAGAAACAGGTGTGTTATAATTAGATTGAAGAAAGCATAGTGTCAAAATTAACTTTTAACTATCTTATCTCAAAAGAGAAACTCAAATTCGACGCCAACAATTGTACAACTTTACGCATACTTAATCAAAACGTTATAAAGGGCAACGCAGTATAGGCAACAACAAATCAAAATTGTGCTAGTCTGTCGTTCTCTCGTTTTAACCGACTTAAAGACATCTTAGGTCAGTGGCCTTGATTTTTAAGTAATGTAAACTATAGCATGTGTTGAGATCCAATATGGTGCATCTATCACAAGTCAGTGTTTCTGGAGAAAGACGGCAAAGGCCTGGCCTCCTGTGGACGAAGGATGACGAGCACACCAAACATCCCGAGCATTGGGATGACGAGAAGCCACTTCAGCAGTTTGTAGTAATACATGTGGAATGTGAGGGAGAAATCATCTGAAAAATAGAGTCCGTTTTTGTCGACCATCTCCACAACAACAGTCCCTGTAGTCCTAACCCCTACCATTGGAAGTTTAATCCGATATTTGCCTGGACGCTCAAAGATCTGGCTTTGCTTTATCCTTCTCTCCCCCTGGTAGTTACCGGGGACTAATAATGTTGTCTGCATTGTTTCAGCAAAGTATCAAGAGGGGAAAAATGAATGAAAAGCAAAACTACTTTAGACAGTTAAAAGAATAAACATTTGAATTGCTTTATCAGTTTTCATTTGTGCATGAAACGGTGGCTTACTGTAACATTGTAAGGTGCTTGGGACCCAGTAGGATATCTATGTTTATCCACAATCTCAATCTCCGCCCAGAAGTTTTTGCCTTCCTCATCACGGAAAGCTCGGGATGAATGTGTAACATATACTCCCTCACGGTTGTACTCGTTAGCAACATTGTTTCTTCCTTGGTTATTTGATCTCCATGCCTGAAACAAATTACAATTAATCAATATAATTCTTAATGCGCAATAAATCAATCATATGTCAGGTTAAGTTCTATCCTGCCTTGAGGGGATGATGCGGGACGGGTGTCGAGAAGCAAAAGACATTTCCGTTCATAGTTGTAACGATAAGATCTAGATCATCACCACCATCAACATTGTCAGCTAACACCATGCTATACCTGTCAATAAATGGTTCAAATATAAGAAAAGAAACCTGAAAGAACAATGGGAAAGGTACAGAACCATAGAGCATATGCACAAACTACTTACGAAGTTTCACCAATATCCACAACATCAGCACATGATGTAGGTCCATCTATCAGGTACAAATAACCATCAAAGGATGTTGTCACAATAGTGAGCCCCTTGCTTTTCTCCCCTCGTTTACTTAAATCAACTAGAAGAACTTGATTCATAACTCTCCCGTGAGTTCTATATGGATATGGACGAACCACTGAACCATCCTTTCCACTCAAAACATAAATATTCCCAGATACTGTGGGAACAACAAGATCTGTGTGTCCATCTCCGTCAACATCGCCAACAGCAGGACCCTGAGGAAATAAATGATATTCAGACAATAAACTCAAAGTACTTCAAACAGGTATAAATATTGATGTGTATCGGCTCAGCACTAATTTCTCAATGCATTATTTAGTTCACCATAGAGTTCAAAATCAGAAGGCAGATGCTTGGAAAATGGCTAAATGCACCATCATATTTGAGGCAATAATAAAAAGTGGCAATAACAAACTATGATATTTGCCAGGAATGAAAAGAACAGTGGTGGAAAAATACCAGATTGTAAATGCATATAGAGAAACTAGCTACCTATTAATTAATCATACTATCCATGTATCATGCATGGACAATGATACAGAAAGTGTGCTACAACTCACCTGGGGAATCAAACTCTTTACATGAGCTTCCCAAATTTCTTCTCCTTGTGCAGTCCATGCTGCAACATTCCCATGTGTATCTGTTGTCACTAGTTCAATCTTGCCATCATCATTGATATCAGCTGCAATTACAACACTTTGAATTTCCGCCATTTCAAGAGGAAACTTTTGTCTGACATTTCCTGAATGAAATGAACGATTCAATTGGAATGATTGGAGAAAATAATTGCATATAAATAAAGCCATTTCAAACAAGAAAAACAAGGATGGAAAATCTTTGCACGGAAAGTTATTTCTAATGAAAACACCAAGCATCACAATAAAACTTCAAAAGAAGGAACACAAAACAGAGCAATGTGATAATGAGGGTTCCAAGTAGAAAATTCCACTATTAACATTTTCAACAAATTCAAATATGAAACCCGCATAATTCAACCAAAATCATGTCTAATAAAATAAATTGATGTAGAAAAGAACAATCCTAATGCATATTTGGTATAAAAAAAATTACATAAGCTATAAGTAGTTTCAACATCGAGGTAGAGTAGACAACTACTTGAATTTGCATAGGTAGGGAAATTGATTAGCTGTATTCTAAAGTATGATCACACATATAAAACCAACTGTAAGAAATCTAAACTAATAATATAGGAATAAGCTCATCAATCTAAACAGATTACCATGGTGATCCAATACATAGAACAAGCCATATGAAGTTCCCACAAGGATGTCCAAGTTTCCATCACCATCCAGATCAACAACATTTGGAGAAGAATATATGTGCACGGAAATTGGCAGTATCAGTACTCAAATCCAAGTCTTTCGTCCACTTAACCTGCTTTGTATCAAGATTGAACACAACAATGCCTCCGGCGACATATTTTCCAATATCAATACCTCCAAGCTCCTTCATATGTTCAGGGTTGTCATAGTACCTAACAAATAATTTTCAGTTTTTCAGCCACTTATTGTAAAAGGGCATCCCTCATCCCTCCTTCCACAAATATAAACTAACTTAGAAAATATTGAAAAAGTTAAATATGAAAAAGGAACTTACTCATGATCAAAAAAGTAGGAAACAGCAACAATCATCTCTGACACCCCATCATTGTCGATGTCTGCTATGACCTGATGACAAATAGGGAAAAAATTCTGTGACTTTTGTAGTAGAATTCCACTGAGCTTATCAATGTTGTTCCTTCACTATAAATAAACACGTTATCTCATTGAAATTTATACTCACCGGAGTGGACAAGATGTGTGAGTCGATATTCACATAATCCTCCAATTTCACATGTTGTCCTTCAGTCCATTCCTCATCTCCCCACATGGATTCATCAACATAATCATCATAATCATAATTATATTCATCGGCCAACTCATCAGTATCACGGAATAACTCAAAAGAATGATCTGCATCTGCTTCTAACCCTTGATCATTTTCCACACTAGCTTTCTGAGCATTCTCTTTTGAATCAGAGCTACCTTCCTGGGAATCTATTGAGGACTTTTCTTCTAGAAGCCGTCTCCCAGAACTTGTTTTTGTATGTGTTTCATTGCTTCCCACTGACACTGATCCATTGTTTACAGAAGCATTAACACCAGTAGGCAGCTTGATGGTTTCTTCTATTTGACTTCCACTCATTTTAGTTTCATTTTCTGCCTTAGACAAGTTAACCTCGCCAGAGTGATTTGCTATTGATGTTGAACCAGTAAGGTTAGGTTTCGGTATACTTTCATTTGTTTCTGCAAGGATACACAATATGTAATGGTGTGAGTCCTTTCATGGAAAAAGAATGGTCCAAAATATTAAATAAAACCATGTTCTCCTAAAGTTGTTTCAGAATTCCCTTTTAAAGATGAAAGCAATGTAACCGAATAAATAAATAAAATCAGAAACAGGTGCTGCAACTTAGAGGCAGAATAAGGAAAGAACCAGTTCATTGTCTGCATATTACTATTACAGAGTGGAGTGCAATGAAGCTATCTTAGCAACTAATATAATCTAAGAGATTAAAAATGAAGTAACAAGGGTATAAAACTATTGAAATTTGGGAATAGCATACGATTCATGGCATTTATTTTAGAAGCCTCATCGATGAGCGAATCATCATGGACATCTGGATGAGAACGGTCCACTGGATCAGGATGCAAGCCCGCATACCAATCTTTACGAACTTTTCTACGTGGTACCTCCAATTTAT